ATTTATGCTATGTTTTTGTTGTTCACTTAATTATTCTTTGTTGTTATCTTGATTTTGTGAAATTTTTATTACATTAAGTTAATGGCGGCGAACAACAATGAACAACAATTAGTCGTCTTAGCAGCGTACGAGGCAGTTGAGCAATATGGATCGTTGTCCACTATGCTAACCCGTTCGGGGTTTTGTTGGAATCACGCGGCAAATACCATCGACGTCATTGATGACCAAGTTTGGAACGATTACGTGAAGGTAACACTTTAATATCAAATTAAGTTAATGTACAACTACTTGCATGCTTACTTACATTCAACTAAATCGCTTTTATTTTTTTTAATAGTCCGATCCAAATGCTCGCTTGATGCGTTTCAAGTCATGGCCGTACTATAGTGATTGGACTATTATATTTGGAAAAGATCGGGCAACCGGTGAGAGTGCCGAAGCACTCTTCGATGCGGTTAACGACTTGACAAAACAAGACAAGCCCGCAAGTGATGCATCGATGGGAGGTGAAAACATCCCATTTGTTACCGGATCCCCGAACGACAATGAGTCGGAGAACATGTCATCGATGCACGGTGAAGCATACATGTCTACACTGAATGGGGAAGGCACCTCGACATCTACTCAACGTAGGGGTAAGAAAAAAATGAATAAGAGGCCACGAAGCGACGACCTTGAGGCTCGCATGGTGGACATGATGGCGGATATGGCCAAAATTTTTGCTGAAACAAAGACATCCCTAGGAGAATTGGCGCAACGCATAGGTTTCGATCATGATGCTTCTAGTACTCGTAGGAAGGTGTTGGATGCGCTTACACCATTGTTTTTGAGTGTCGAGGATAAGATAAAGGTCGCCAAAGTCGTTTGTGGCAGTGCAAATGAGCTGGATATCTTTTTTGGCTTGGACGAGAATGAGCGTGCGGTTATGGTCCAAATGATACTCGAAGGTCGCTACTAGGGTGTGATGTGACCAACTTTTTTCCCAAACAAACAAGTTACCTAAGCGGCTATAATCAGTAGGACTTGCATGTACTAATTTCAACTTTTAAAACCTTTATGTTTGACAAGTATTATTTGCACTATTTCACTGTATTATTTTGAAACTAACTGTTATTGGCCTTTGTTTAAAGTAAATTATTTTTTGTATTTGCCGTAGTCCACGAAGTTTGGACAACAACTTCCAACCCACAACTGCATACGAATGGGTGAGTATGGCCGTTCAACTCATCACAGAAAAAATAGCGCCCTGTCCGTTGCCGACATGTCGACGAACTGCTGTTGCTGCTCATGTGGCCTTCAAACTTTTTTATTGAATTTCAAAAAAAAATTTAGAACAGAGCAGTACAAGATGGAGGAAGAAGAGAATCCCTATTTTTTCTAATTTTTGGAGCAGAGAAGACCGTGTATATGAGGAGGATGAATTCAATAAATAGAATTTTTGAGGGCTAAAAATGTCATTCACCGCCATTTACCAGTCAATCCAACGTACCTAACGGCAGAATGATTCACTCGGATGCTATCCGTAGCTACGAATATGTGA